TTTCATGATTCTTTGTCCATAAAGTAAGGTAGAAATCCATTCTTCTTCAGGTCATGCCCGAGTTACTTCTCCCGAATCGCCAATTGATCTCTGATTGACTTGAAACATGCGCCTATGCTTCACTTTATGTGCTAGGACCTAAAATGTGAAAAAGGAACACAACCTAGAGTAAAATAGGCCAAAGACGCGATAATTAAAGCTCAAACAATCAAGAAACAAAGGGGAAAACATGTGCAAATATCGAGTCATCAATATGGTAGTGTGAACACAGACCTGCGTTCACACTTATTAGATGCACTTTATATATTTCGATGAATTAGTACGGTTGGTTATTTCTAGATTAGATGTATCTTATGATAAAGATTAGAGAATTAAGTACTGAGATTCATCAATTAAAGGCTAAGGTATATTATCATGCACCAATCTCTGATTAATTCATGGTATAAACTGGATTTGGGTTAGTGTACAAAAACACATAGGGGCCGTTTGGATAATTAATTATATAATGAGGGATTTGAGACCGAAATCTCTCAACTAACAACCTATGAAGTTAAAATGTGGGATTTAGACACAATCTCTCGCTTGAGATTTTTTAGATTGGGATGGAAGTGATCTAGTGGTCATCTTTGTAGATGGGTAAAGAGGAAAAGTAGGAGTTTGTGGAGAGGGTTACCATATTTTTTTGGAAGTTGACCGAATTTTGGCTTTTGGTTACCAATTTTTTTTTTTTTTTTTGCAAATTCATTTGTTTCTTGTTAATAACATCATAAACGACAATTTATAACATTTTGACATAAATCGCATTCTTGGAATGACGATTATGAGATGCGTGCATTGAATGCACCAAAAAAGTGGGTACACTTAACATTGACTAATACTCTTAAGTCATAACGTTTACTAATACAACATTACAAACCGGAGAGGCTCAACTTTCCAGTGGATTAGTCTGAATCAGGACTACCACGCAAAATATGTGGGTCATTTGCTTTGAGGTCGTGTTTGATTTAATAGTAAAAGTTGAAGCTGAGTATTATAATTCATAAGAGAGGGTTGAGGGTTTTTACCAATGTTGTCAGAACCGAACCAGAGCATGACTCAATAATGTTAATGACTCACACTTTATTCATTATTGGTTCAACCGATATTGGGCGTTAAAAACCGTTAGAAAACTAGTACCTTATAAACAATAATATTATAAGTAGAAGACACTTAAAATAGTAACTTAACAATTTAATGATTAAAATGAAGTTACTTTGCAGGTACCATTTTATTAACCGGAGTTTGGGCATTATATTATACTCTAACCTCTAATAGGTGAACCACAACCCCTAATTCTATAACCCAAGTCACAAGATTTATTTAATCTAAAAAATAATAACTGACGATTCTGATCCAGCGAAAAAACCAAGTGCGTACGCCTGATGTACACTAGCTTTTGCCACACATATATATATTTACATTAAAACTTAAAACCCATCCCCCACCCACCCACCCACTGACTTATTCTAGCGGCACCTCCTCCCATAACCCAGAACTGCTCACCTCTCTCTCTCGGTTTCTCAATTTCTTCCTCCCACTTCTTACGAAAAAACACCAAAGAAGGGAAGCAAAAGGAGGACACCTATAGATTCCGACGAGGAGTAGCAGCTAGGAGCTTACCACCCCTGTTTCCGGCAGCGACCTTTGTTGTTGGCAAGTTCACCGACGAAAAAAGTGAGGGAAAACAATAGGACAGCGGCGAGAACAGGAGATCTTACGCAGTCCTTCTAAGGAAGCGAGGGAGAGCCCGAAGTTTTTTGATTTTTTGAATTTTTTTGAGTTAAACTAAACTGACGAAGGGCGAAAACCGAGTGAGCGGCTCAATCGACTCGAGCGGTTAACCGCTTCTACAAAAAGCCATCACGATTTTTTTACTATTTCGAGCCGGTTTGGCGGCTGGGTAGCCATTTTACCGGTTCGGTAGGCTCAACTCGATTTTAATAATACTAGTTCTTATATTTGAGCGTCGCAGTGTACTGAAGGAATCACTGAGAACCGGATCTCCTCGCGGTACTCGCAAATTGCATTCATGTTGCTGCCAGCGATCTTCCCCTCTTTCACAGAAGCAAATCACATGGTCGAGAAATATTAAGAATTTACGGATACATATATTAAGTAGGATAAATAAACAGTAAGGAATAAAGTAGGAGGGAAAATATGACGAATTAAAATATAGAATCTCTCTGATTATTACAGATTTGGTATTTGTATATTTTAGTTATTTGAAATCTCTAAAAGTAAAATCTACAATACAAAAAGCAACAAAAAAATACTTTATACAAAATCTACGGATTTAGGGAATCCATGACTGAAATCCTTTTCTCCAAATGACCCCTATGTGTTTTTCAAATTCATGTATTGAAACAATACTTATAATTAGAATATATCAATTTAGACAATCTTAGTAGGAATGGCAATTGATCAAGTTTGAGGTGAGTATCTCATTACCTATACCCGTCCTGTGGCAGATCGACTCCAGGTCGAGTAATTTATCACGGGGTGTGGTTTGGCAAGTCAACGCATATGGGTACGTAATTTAAAAATAATATACTAATCTCTTCAAAGAGAGCATTAAGCATCACCCTTTCCCACGTCAGTATTTGATTGGAGGCTTAGTGATTCTGATTCTTCTTCACTAACTCGTCCTTTTACGGAGCTGGAAGTTAAGGTCACTCTGAATGACTGTGGTGGAGGAAAAGCACCAGGCCCTGATGGTTTCTTGTTGGAATTTTACTATAAGTGTAGGGACTGGCTGAAAGCGGATGTTATGGCAACATTCTATGAGTTATATGAGAGAGGCATTCTTCCCAAAAGTGCTGCTCACTCTTTCATATATCTTACCCCTCCAAGAAAGATTCCATTGGAGATATTAGTGATTTAAGGCCACTAAGTTTTATGGTTAGCATTAACAAGGTGTTCAACAAGGTTTTGTCTGTTGCCAAAGGTGGTCTCTTGACATCAACATGCTTCCGTTGAAGGCATGCAAATCTCTAAAGCGGGTTTGATAGCTAACGAACTGGTGGATAGCCATATAAGGAGCAGGAAACCAAGTCTAATGTTTGAATTGGATATAGAGAAGGCATTTGACAATGTGAACTAGAGTTGTTTATTCCAAGTGATGTCGAGGTTGGGTTTCCCTTCCAAATGGCAGGATTGGATTCAGGGATTTATGTGTTCTCCAATCTTGTCGATCCTCGTGAATGCAGATTCTAGGGGTATCTTCCTTGCCCAAAAGGGCTTCGAAAAGGCGACCACTTGTCATATGGTTTATTCGTGCTTATTATGGACATGCTGATGACTCGATATTTGTACATGTTCTCCCCTTTGTTTCTTGATTGTTTAAGCTTTCATTATCGTTTCTTTGGCCTATTTTAAGTTAAGTTGTGTTTCTTTGTCACATTTCAAGTCCTAACACGTAAAGTGAAGCATAGGTGCAAGTTTCAAGTAAATCGGAGATCAATTGGCAACTCGGGAGAAGAAACTCGGCTTTACCTAAATAAGAATGGATTTCTACCTCATTTTGTGACCAAAGAAACATGTAAACTTGTCATTAGAAGAAAGAGGACGAGACTACGAGCATCCGGGATCAAACGACACCTGATTTGGAATGCGGACGAGGGAGAAAAAAAGAATCAAAGACAGGGGAACCAGAACAGTGAAAACCCCGGTTTGGAGGCCCAATTCCCCGATAGGGGATTTTTATGTTAGGTAGGGGATTTTGATCAGAAAAAATCCCTAGTCAGGAGGTCCAAAACCCGACCGTGTAACTTTCAGAAGTGTGTATAAAAGCTTGTTTTGTGCGTTTTTGGAGGGGGGGAGTTGGATTTTGGTTCCCAAACACCCAAGGGATGAACCAAAGAGAGAGAGGCGATCTATAGCCATTCAATAGACATGTCTAGACATGAAGATGAAAGACCTGGAAAGTTATGTTGCATTCTCTCTCTTCTCTATGGAGTAACTTCCCTTCACTTAGGTTTGAGAAACCCTAGCTATGTTTGTTTGATTAGATGATTGTATGAGTACTCCTACTTGATAATCTTGAGTTCATATTCAATCTATGTATATTTTCATGATTCAATTCTGCTTTAGTCGAGATTATTGATTCTGCTTTGATCCTATGAGAGCGAATACCTGATTAGGTTAATAGAGCACCATAGATTGATAGTATTGGATCGATTGCTTTAGTCGAGGGTCAATTCATTACATTGTATTGATTGAGAACCTCATTTGATAGAGGTAATCTAGTTTAGAACTCCTTGATCGGTTGTTCTAGAGAAGGATACGTCCCTCTAGGCTATCGACTCAAGAGGACCTTGACTTCTTTAGTCGAGATTCAAGGTCTAGTCAAGGATTCTCCGCATTGTGAATGAAAAAGAAACAGGTTAGAGATCATCAATCATTATTCTGGCTAGTGGCTAGGGGGAATCATACCTGAGTGAGTTCCCAACCTGTAATTAGATTAACTTTAACTATAGGTTGCTAGAGTAGTTATAGTTGTTCGATCTTAATCTGGTTTGCTAGATAATGAACTGAAGCTGAGTAATAGTAACTCTAGAGACCCGTGGATTCGATATCTATTACTTGTGTCACTATACTGCAACCCCTTTCATTGGTTACACTTGACCATTGGTATGAGTTGTGTTGTAGCGAGTCATGTGTTATCCTTTATGATTTCAAAGTTTAAAGAAGAGAGGAGGATTACTGGTTTTTTGCATGGATGAAATTTAGGGGGAGGTTACTCATTAATTGTTCGCTGACGAGACCCTTATCTTTTGTGAACCCTCCTACGAGAAAGTCTTAAACGTTTTGGCCACCCTTGTCTTCTTTCAATCTGTCACAGGGTTGGGGATGCTTGAAGTGATTGTTACGACCATGAAAAAAAAAGACAAATACCAACTACATATGTATATTGCGGTATAATAAAGTTGTAATTCACTAGTTATTCCTGAAGCTCTCCAAATCTATAAAAAAAAAACCGAGGTTATTTGGATTCCTCGGAAACCTCCACCCACATCACTATTTAATATTCCTTGACCCACTATTGGCCAAACCACATGGGCGCTAGGTTCAATGTGAGTAGGATCACTTATCCATGCTTCATAATTGAAAAAACAAGCACCGTGAAAATACATCCCACTCAGCCAAAGAAAGATGATGGAGAGTTGGCCGAAATGAGCTCTAAATACTTTTTGAGAAATCTCCTCCAAATTACTGGTATGGCTATCAAAATCGTGTGCATTCCATTTTTTTATCAGAGATTTTATGAAATGGGCTTCATTAATGTATGTTGTGGGTGACGTTCCGGATCCAGATTTATTTGCTACTATTTTCAGATGCAGGTGGAGTAAAGAACTGACTAAGTATCTCGGATATCCTCTTGGAGCGAAGCCCAACACTATTTCTATTTGGGACCCCATCGTGTCTAAAGTTCAAAAGAGGCTCGAGGGGTGGAAGGGATATTTTTGCTCATATGGAGCCAGACTTATTTTGAATTGCTCTTTTCTTTCCAGCCAACCACTACACTATTGTTCTATTCTCAAAGCTCCTAAATTGGTTATTAAGAAACTAGAGACAGTGCAGCGGAATTTCTGGTGGAATGGCACAAATGACTCCCATAAATTACCCTTGGCCAATTAGGAAGGTTGCAAGATAACGAAAGACAAAGGGGGACTGGATTATTTTTTTATCTCTCTAGCTTCAATAGTGCACTCTTGACAAAGTGGCTCTGGCGTTTTGCAATTTACAGAGATGGTTAGTGGCGAAGGTTAATAGCAATCAAATACTCCAATATTTTCTCTTTTTGGCAAACTGGTCAGATCAGTGGCCGGTTTTCCAGTTCTATTTGGGCCAATATATCTATGGAATATGGCTCCTTTTGAAATCTTGTTTATCTCGATCCTGGTGGAAGCACTATGTTTCATTTTGGTTTGAATGTTGGATCCATGGAACTGTGTTTGCCGCCTCCTTTCCCCGTGTTGTCACTACCACGACCTCCACTGATGCTCGAGTATGTGATGTTTTCCTTCGGTTAGGTGAGACGGTGGGGTGGGATCTTAATTTTAATACTGTGTTGAGAGGGGGATGAGAGGGATAGAATTGAGTTTTTGAACTTACTGGATTCCATTGATTTGAGTTGCGTGTCTAGCGGGCCTTGTAGGCTTGTTTGGAGTCCCAAACGAGAGCCTTCTTTTTCCGTTTCATCCTTGTAAGGTCCTATATTGCGGAGCTCTATCCGGGAGTGCGAACTACTCCACATCTTCTTTTTGGATGGTCGTTCCAAGATGTGTTTCTTCTTATGGACGCTCTTTCTAAAAAAAGTGCTCGCCTTGGATAATCTCAAAAAGAGTGGATGGGTGATTGCTAATCGATGTGAGTTGTGCCACTATAATGAAGAGTAATAAACCATATGTTCGTCGCTTGTTCTTTCATTGATGATGTTTGGACAGCGATCAGAAAGGGCTTGTAGTTTGGTGGATCATCCTGCTAGCGACATTTTCGTGGTTATTCAAAGATGGACCACTGATCTTCCTAATAGAATGAGCAGTTGTTTCACTTTCTGTGTTCTTCACGCGGTGTGATGATACGTTTGGCTCGAGAGAGACCAACGTATTTTCAATGGGACTAGACTGCCCGCAATAGTGATTGCTTGCAAGGTTATCATGTCAATCGTTGCGTGGGTTGTTGCTCATGGAAAGGTGCACAAAGAAGAAGGATAGTAGTTGAACGAGTGTCTATCGAAGATCTGATTGTTATATCGGCTTGCTAGCTTAGCAGTTAGGTGCTCTTTGCTGGCTTCTATGCTTCCCTTTGCTGTTTGGGGGCGCTGGGTTTCATCCCTAGTTCTTTGTTGGGGACTTTCTTTTTTCACTAGAAAGTATTTTTTTTCTATTTTTTTGGGCCCATTGCAGGTGTTGTTGTTCTGGGTAAGTCTCCATCGATCCCTCACTTGAGAGGTTTCTTGGTCTTGTACTCCTTTTCTTTGTGGCTTTCGTCCATATTTTCTAATTTATTCATCATTACAAAAAAATATTCATTTTTTCATTAAAAATCAAGAAACAAACTATAATATAATAAATATAATTAAATTATTCAAGAAATTGATGTTCTCATCTATTTACAACTTCATTATATCTTAAATATGATGTAATTTGAATAAAACTTTTATTAATTTGAGTAAAATTATATGTAAATTAGACAAAAACAAATAGAAAAACTTAAAAAAATAAACATGTGATATTACATATTCGTATTGTCCCACCCCACCCCACCCTACCCTACCCCCCACCTACTATATAGATATTACTCGCCGCAAAACAAAACAAACAAAACAGATTGGATAAAACAGGAAAATTGTCATCCATAAATCTCGGGAGTTACTATTCGTCACCCTAGTATTTTAAATTTTAACGCCCTAAATTTAAAAATAGACACATTCACCCCTTTCTAACCTAAATCACAAATGAAGCAAAGTGGCGGCGGTTGTTGGCTAGCGGATCCGAAGGTGGCCGGCCGTAAACGCACATTAACGCTAGTATTACCTGGGGTGCGACAGGGGAATCAATTTGGGCATTACCGTTGATTATTAACATAGTTATTTCCGCGAGCAGATGGAACTGGGAGCGGGGCAATCGAATCATTAATCATGATCATAATGGTGGCTGAATTGGTCCACGAGGGTGACAATAAAATTGACATACTGGCGTCGGGTTTAGACGTAGTTATGGAGGGATTATCGACTGAGTTTTGAGAGACGGTTAATTAGTGAATTAGTTCTGGCTAGCCAGAGGAAGGAACCAGAGGGCGACGCTGTCGAGGAAGACAAAGGGCGGCGGCACTGCGGGGGAAGACAGATGGCGGAGGGAAACCAGAGCAGAGCAATGCGGCGAGATGGAGCATAGGGCCGCGATGCTAACGAGGAAGATAGAGGGTGGCGATGAACTCGGGGAAGCGAGAGGATAGCGGCGAGCAGGAGTAGAGGACGCCGGCGGCTGACTGGGGAAGACAGTATTATTACTTATATATAATTAGGGCGTCAAATCTATTCAGCTAACTGAAAAAGAGCGTTTATTGTTGGGGCAAAATCGTCAATCATTATACTTAGAGCGATTTATTTAAAAATGTAGGGCGTTAAATAGAAGTTTAGTAAATCTCAGTCTCCAAAGTCTTGTCGATGCAACCGAAATGCAGCTTGTGGAAGCCCAAAACATGTGATACAAGCATTGGGCCAATCGTGAAAATTCTGTTATTCAAATTGGGCCGAGTTCTCCAGACCCGATCTGCTCGAAATGGTGGCAAGCCCAAATGGACAAGCCGCCAACGGCAGCTCCTCGCATAGCATAAAGCCATAAACGGGTGTGCCTCCCTTGCGGCTTGGCCGATGCCGATAGGCGATAGTTCACAGTTCTTTGTCTTATGTCTCCTCACCCAGAAATAGCATTCGGAGAATTAAGGGTGTCAACTCTTCAAGCGTCGAAGTCTGAATTACCTACCAACCCTCTTCTCTCGATCTTCGTTCTCTGGGTGATCCGTGATCCCATTTGTCTCGCCTTCCGTCAATGTCGTTTCTCTTCATCCCTCGGCGAACTTATTCGGCAGCTCTCACTGCGCCCTTCTCTTGTTCCAATTCCCAGATATCCTATTTCGCCCGTTGTGGCCAAATCGATAGAGCTCGTCAGGTTTTCGAACAGCTGCCGGATAAAACAGTTGTCTCTTGGAATGCAATTGTGGCCGGTTACTTCCAGAACAACGAACCGAGGGAGGCTCGGAAGCTGTTCGATCATATGCCTGAGAGAAATACTATTTCTTGGAACGGCTTGATTTCTGGTTATGTTAAGAATGGAATGACTTGGGAAGCTAGGGAAGCGTTCGATAAAATGCCTGAGAGGAATGTGGTTTCGTGGACTGCTATGCTCAGGGGCTATGTGCAGGAGGGTATGATTGGGGAGGCAGAACGTTTGTTTTCTCAAATGCCTGTGAGGAATGTTGTTTCTTGGACCGTTATGATTGGTGGGTTGATTGAAGATGGGCGTGTGGATGAAGCTCTAAAGCTGTTTTATGTGATGCCCGTTAAGGATGTCGTTGCGAGGACTAATATGATTGGAGGGTTGTGTTCTGAAGGAAGGTTGAAGGAAGCAAGGGAGATATTCGATGAGATGCCTGAGAGAAATGTCGTTGCTTGGACGACCATGATTAATGGATATGTAATCCATGACAAGGTGGATTTAGCTAGGAAGTTGTTCGAAGTAATGCCTGGTAAGAACGAGGTGACGTGGACTGCAATGTTGATGGGATATACGAGGAGTGGACGGATTGAGGAAGCTGCAGAACTCTTCGACGCAATGCCTTTCCAGTCAGCTCCGGCTTGCAATGAAATGATTATGGGTTTCGGACATGATGGTCAGGTGACTGAAGCTAGACGGGTATTTGATCAAATGACAGAGAAAGATGACGTGCCATGGAGTTCAATGATCAAGGTCTATGAGAGAAAAGGTTTTGAACTGGAAGCACTTAGTCTGTTTCGGTTGATGCAACTACAAGGAATTAGACCAAACTTCCCATCAATGATCAGTACCCTCTCTGTTTGTGGTAGTCTGGCAACTCTAAATCATGGCAGAGAGGTGCACGCACAGCTGGTGAGATCCCTATTCGATTGTGATGTTTATGTCTGCTCGGTTTTAATCACGATGTATATGAAGTGTGGAGATCTTGTGAATGGTAAACGGGTATTTGATCGGTTTACCTCCAAAGATACTGTTATGTGGAATTCTATCATAACTGGTTATGCACAACATGGCCTAGGAAAGGAAGCATTGCAGGTGTTTTATGATATGGTATCTTCAGGTGTACCTCCAGATGAAGTCACCTTTATTGGGGTTCTCTCAGCATGTAGTTACACTGGAAGGGTAAAAGAAGGGCTTCAACTATTCGAGTCGATGAAATCAAAGTATCTGGTAAATCCCAAAACTGAACATTATTCTTGTGTGGTTGATCTGCTTGGTCGAGCAGGAAAACTGAACGAGGCAATGAACTTAATTCGAGACATGTCGGTGGAAGCAGATGCTTGTGTTTGGGGTGCTTTACTAGGTGCATGTAGAATCCACAACAGGCTCGATATGGCTGAAGTTGTTGCAAAGAAACTTTTACTGCTTGAGCCTGAAAATACCGGGCATTATATCTTACTCTCAAATATTTATTCATCTCAAGGTAGATGGAGAGACGTTGCAGCATTGAGAAGTAACATGAGAGTACAGTCATTGTCGAAATCTCCTGGGTGCAGCTGGATTGAAGTGGAGAAGAAAGTTCATACGTTCACTGGAGGGGATATCACGTCTCATCCCGAGCATGCAGTTATATTGAGGATGGTTGAGAAATTAGATGGGCTTATAATAGAAGTTGGATACAGCCCCGATGGTAGCTTTGTGTTGCATGACGTTGAGGAAGAGGAGAAGGTTCACAACTTACGTCATCACAGTGAAAAACTTGCTGTAGCATATGGAATCTTGAAGGTGCCAAAAGGTATGCCTATCAGGATCATGAAAAACCTCCGGGTTTGTGGTGACTGCCACGCTGCCATCAAGTTGATAGCTAAAGTGACTGAGAGAGAGATAGTGCTAAGAGATGCTAATAGGTTCCATCATTTTAAGGATGGTTCATGCTCTTGTGGGGACTACTGGTAAGTGGGTTAACGAAGCAATGAACTTAATCCGATACATGTCGATGGAAGCAGATGCTTGTGTTTGGGGTGCTTTACTTGGCGCTTGTAGAATCCAAAACAGGCTCAACATGGATAAAGTTGTCTCAAAGAAAGCTTTACTACTTGAGCCTGAAAATTCCGTGTCTCATATCTTGCTCTCAAATATCTATTCATCCTAGATGGAGAGACGCTGAGAAGTAATATGAGAGTACAGTCATTGATAAAATCGCCTGGATGTAGCTGGATTGAAGACGAAAAGAAAGTTCATATGTTTACTGGAGGAGATATCCTGTCTCATCCCAACCATGCAGTGATGTTGAGGATGGTTGATAAATTAGATGGGATAAGAGAAGCTGTATGTATAGCCCCAATGGTAGCTTTATGTTGCATGATGTTCAGGAAGAGGAGAACGTTCATATCTTATGCCATCAGTGAGAAAAGGTATGCCAATCAGGATCATGAAAAACCTCCGGGTTATAACTTGAAGCTGCTGATCCTTCAATGAAATCATGGAACAGTCTCAACTCTTGTGGCCGTAGACAATTTGTGGGTAAGATGTCATCTACTTGTTTTAATTTCATGTATCGCTTTTGAGTTTCATTTGGAGCAAAAACGTTGGATGCTTGTAGAGTTGAAACATATTCGTTGGCGTAAGTTTGTGTGAGGTCGTGAAATGAAGCCTTTGCTATGCAAACTTAATCTGTCTACTTACTCTTAGAGACTACTTTGGACCTTATTTCTCTTTAACGCATGACATAGTTCATGAAGAATAAGCTTAAGCAGCTACTGTGATATAAATCTTACACCTTTGAGATATATAGCCATGAGTTATTACAGGAGAAGCTGCATGCTTTTCTCCGAAAGAAAATGAAGATAAAATTGTTGCTTTCACCGGTTGTATTAAGTAGGAACAGTAGAACACATCTTACTGCTAAAAGGATGCTATGGTGATTAATATAGTAGGTCAGTTGGTTTCTCATGATAGCGAAGCTTGCTTGCGCTGAAACTTAACATTTACAGTAGTAATACATGAAGCAAAACACAGTACACGAAATCCACCTTATTGCAAACCTAAAGGGAAGAACAGCTGCTTGAAACCCCTCTACAAGGCAAGGTTGAGGTCTATTTCGTGTTTCTCTTCCTGTGCACATATTTCTTTCTCTGAAGAAGCTATCGGCTCAACTGTGGTGGTGCAGGTTCCAGCTGTTCTCAAACCAGCAAGTCCAGCAAAATCTTCAAGCTGGAAGGAAGGAGTCCAGGGGGCCTGGATCTTCTTTGCCTTCTTCTCCCTTTGTGCCTCCATCTGTTGCAGGGTGCTTGAAGAAGAAACATGGCGAGCCTCTCTCAGCCTTTTGATAATTGCAAAGAACTTGTCGATCTTCTCCTCATCCCGTTCTTCTTCGTGTTCTGCTTCTCGCAGTGCAAGTTCTGGGGAGGAGTTGCTTTTCTTCCTCTCTTGGTCCATGGCGAGCAAGTAGGAAGGAAGGAAGCTCTGCAACTAAAGTCGCTTTCCAAAGGGTGAAAGCTAGCTCCAGCTTATGTAAGTGGGAGGAAATCACATTGTATGGAACACGCTCTCTGGAAATTCCGTGACTGGAAACACTTGGCACGTGAGTGGGGTTGGAGTAGTGTTAGAAACAAAGTTTCTAACGGGTTTGATATTTGGGGATTAGGGTTTGAATTAGGAATTGAGATTGGGGATTTGGGGAAGAAGAAGAATAGAATAGAGAATCGGCCGAGGCCTTTGAGGGATAGGGATCGAGAATTGAGAGGATAGGGAGAGATTAGGGTTTAGGAGATTATTTGATAATTCTTTCTTGACTGCCTACTAATGAATCACAAGTACATATTTATAGGGAGTACTAGGAAACCCTAATAATAAACCTAATCCTACTAAATAACTACTACCCTTATTGATACTTTCCCTAATAATAATTATATTAATAAATAAAGAAACCCTACAGAAATCGGTTTCTAACATCTCCTCCCCCTTCAGACCAACCTTGCCCTCAAGGTTGAACCACTTGACCCACTCTGCACCCTGACTCCATTTCCCGCGCTTCCGTTTCTTCCAATTGTGCTCCACTACTCGAATGAACTCTGCTCGCAGAACTCCAACTTTCCTTGACCCTTCTTGAATCACGTGACACATGTCACGTTTTGCATAGCCGAACAGTTCGTCATCTTCCTTTTCGAAATTCACAAAATAAGAATCGGAGAACTGTCCTTCCTCGTGCCTCTCAGCCACCTTGAAACCTTCAATTGTCAGCTCCATTGATTGCACGATGAAGACAAGCTTTTTCTTTGGGCTCCATTCGCTTCCAAGTGAATTTGGATCAACCTTCCTTGAAAGTCCAACTCCTAACTCAACGAGCCCACTACTTCCTTTCTTCACGTCACTTCCCTGCAAACTAAATGTAATAAGATAGTCCATTGGAATCCAGCCCAAGGAGAGCCCATCAGACTTCTTATTAATTGCCAGCCCGTGACCTTCCTCAACATTTTGGGTAGCAAACCCCGGCCCAGATCCGAGCCCTTGCTCAGCCCACGCAACTATGAACTCTGGCCCAATCCGCTGATCCAGTTCGCCCATTCCTCTCTTCCTTAACCAGAGAGTTATCCCATCAGGCCACTCGGCCCGCATTGCTTGGCCCGGTTGAATCGGTCGCAGCCCAACTCGACCCCGGGTGAGCGACCTAGGGTTTTCGGAATGAGGTACCCAGCCGCCACCCGCCTCATCCATCGTCTTCTTCTTTCCCGTCGCGCCGTCCGCCATCGCTGCCACCTCCGCCGCCGAACGCTCCCCCGCGTCGGCGCCCGCAGCTGCCGTCTCCGCCTCGGTCGCCGTCGCCCTCAGCTCCGTCGTCGCCTCGACATCAGATCGCGGCGTCTGCACGATTCGGGCGGCCGCCGACGCCATCTTCGACGACGGACAGAGGATGTCGCCGCCCTTCTCCTCCTCTGTCTTCTCTGATGACGGCCGAGGAAGCTTCCCGCCGCCGCTCTGCGTCGTCCTTTCTTTCGCCGGCCACCGGCGAACCCCCAGCTTTGCCTTCAACTCGTCGCCGATTGACTTCTTTGTCAGGCTTCCCGTCGGCATGCAGCTCACGCGACGGCTTCGAGGAGATCCCGGCTCCGCCCTGCTGGTCCTCGATTCTTTCTCCCAATCGATCGACGACAGGAAGCAAGACACCTCCGATTGTTCCCTCGTCGAACCAGTTCCGCATCGTCGATTGGTTTTGGTCATCCGCGCCTCCGCTCCCTTCTTCATCTCGAGCTCCGGCGGCTCCTTCCTTGGCGGCGGTTCCCACATCGGGCGGTGGGTCGAAGATGACCCCGGTGCCGCCAACATGATCTCCGCCCCTGCTTCGCGTCGTCGGCCGGTGCTGGCGAGGAGCTCCGCCAACTTCGAGTGGATCTTGGGATTCCTGGTCGGTGCCGCCGAGCAAAACCAGAGAGTGGCGCTGACTAGTTGCTCATCGGCCGCTACTTCCACCAGAGTTGCGTCTGCCGATCTGCTCGGCAATGACGCGGCCGGGGTTGCGACGGCAGTAGAGGCTGTGGGCCTGGCCGACGCTGCAGTCGCCGACTCTCTCTCTTTGGACCACAACTCTTTCTTCCGGAACCGCCAGTTCGCAACGTGACTCGCTCTCGTTCTTCTACCCGAACTATCAGTCCTTGATTCTTCGGAGGAGGACACTGCTCCAATAGTTGCAGAAGAAATGACGATTCCAATCGCTGCAGTAGGCACCACTGCCTTGTCAATTGTTGATGATGACAGCGGGGGAACCTCATCCATCTTCTTTGCATCGGACAACAAAGACTGAGGTTTGGCAACCTCCGCCTCAGTGTTGCTCTCTGCTGGTTCTCCTTCCATGTCCATCTCCTTGGCTGGTGGTTCAATATTGACGCGCGGCTGTGGTGGTGCTTCGAGGTTTGCCGGCGTCTCCTCAACTTGTGGTGGAATTTCAGTTGTTGTCTCCTCGTTGTGGACAGGAGGTGCGATGATTTTTGGGATTTGAAGGATGAAATAAGTTTCTCCGAACTTAGTACGATACCGTTTGATGTCGTGGGTTGCTCTGAATCTGATCTGCTTTTTGAATCGTAACCACCTGTGACCATCAGCCAACGGTCGTTTTCCCGTTATTGCTAGCACATCCGATCCAACCACCTGCACATCTACGTGCTTCTCTTCGAATCCAGGCAAGGTGAAGAACAAGACAACGCTATGTTGCAGCTCCATACTCATGCTGTCAGGTTTGAAGTCTTCATATACTCGTTCGTCCCCGATTGAGAGTTGTGACGAACTCAGAGTTTCGACCATGGCTCTGATACCAGATGTTAGAAACAAAGTTTCTAACGGGTTTGATATTTGGGGATTAGGGTTTGAATTAGGAATTGAGATTGGGGATTTGGGGAAGAAGAAGAATAGAATAGAGAATCGGCCGAGGCCTTTGAGGGATAGGGATCGAGAATTGAGAGGATAGGGAGAGATTAGGGTTTAGGAGATTATTTGATAATTCTTTCTTGACTGCCTACTAATGAATCACAAGTACATATTTATAGGGAGTACTAGGAAACCCTAATAATAAACCTAATCCTACTAAATAACTACTACCCTTATTGATACTTTCCCTAATAATAATTATATTAATAAATAAAGAAACCCTACAGAAATCGGTTTCTAACAAGTAGACGGGCCTAGCCTACGCTGAGAGCCTGAGACTCGACTCGCTGAAGATGATGGCTGAGGTAAATCAAACAATAACTTTGGGTAGGAGTGTCTGCTGTCTTGGCTATGGTCTGGTTCGTTCCAAAATCGAACCAAAGCACGTTACTTTTTAAGAGTCTTTGAATTGGTGAATTGAAACTGGGTTTGAACTACATTTTTATACCGATTTTGTTCAAATGTTGAGTCGGTTCCACACCGCCACAATGTGGGTTGTTGTTTTGGCTTTTGTTATTTTCTCCCCTTGTTTCTCTCGGTAGGAGATAAGCAACAAAGGCAAGTGGGTGGAATGAGCCAAGCTATGTACGTCACAGGTAATGCATCACCTGAAGAATCGTTGCATGTACTAGTCTTTCTTTATATATTTATCTGTAGTCTTTATAAATTGATTGATTTATTTAGTTGGTCTGCTGTTTATGGCTTTCTGTGTGTGGCGTGGAGAGAGCTATCAATGTTCTTGTTGTTTGGGTTTTGGTGCTTTTCAGGAGGTGGGGATTAGATGTTGTCTATTGATTTGAAGCAGGGGGTTATTAAAGATGATTTAAGGTTTGGAAAAACATATCTATGAGAGTTAGTGGGAGGACTTGAATTTTGCATAGATAAGTGTCTAATGATGTCACCTTGCTTAATCATGCCATAAATCAATGACTTTCACTCTTCTAATTTCATGTAAATTGATTAAAGTTAAGAATGGTTTGTTTGGAATGCACATTTGGGAGTGTTTTTTGGTTATTCTTCAAATACCACAAATGCGTTACTCTCCAAATATTAATGGGAAGAGCTAGTATTTTTAAAATACCATGGTATTGTATTTGTATTCTCATTTTGTCTTCTTATCTTTAGATAAATATGAAAATATATTATTTTTTCTTTCCAACTTTGGTAAATGCTTTCTCCCGAATGTCTCGTTACATCTTATTCGTGTTCCTCCGTTCTTACTTGGCTTCAAATGAGTCTAATGTATTTTTCTTTTATTCCTTTCTCGATCATCAGTCAGCAACTTGTCCGGGCTTATTAATCGTAGCTACAAATTACAATACAATTTTGTTCAAAAAAAAAATTACAATACAATACGATCTAGAAATGTGTTCTAATATTGGATGGGATGACACACTGACTTTGCAGGAGGAAAGGAAGAAAGATGGCGACCTTTTGATGGGGTTCTAAAGTCATGTACCAAATTGGTTCACCTAAGGAACCTAGAAGTCATGAGTCATGACTCTAAAACAATGGATTCTTTGGAAGCTGCGGCTTGACTACGAATGGACATATTATGTTGCACTTCATTTTAGCTACTTTAGTAATTTACAACTCGGAGCATTGTTGACGCCATTTCATTACTTATATAAATTATGGAGTCATGTGGAAGATGGGATTTCAAATGATGTATTTAGACAATACTTATAAAGTAGAGATTTTTTTTGTTAAACCATATATTTGGAGAGCCTGTTTGTAGGTTTATTGATTATTTATTTATATATTTGAGATATGACAATATAATTCTTTCTATACATAAAAGCTGGGTACGCCTTTTTGCCTATTATTGTAGCTTCTTCAATCGTTTAGCGGGTTTCAAAGGTTTTCGCTGAACGCTTTCTCATTCGCCTCTTTTACCCAGCTACTGCCCTCTGGCTTCCCCAAATCCAGCGAGCGGCCATCCCTCCCCTCACCGTCCGTACCTGCAGACCTGCACCTTCCTCACCTTCCGCGCTTAAGAACTTCCTAATTTACAGAGATTGTGAATTCGTTAGTTACTATTTTGCAGTTATACCACAGTTCTGTTTCTGTTGATGGGATTATCTTTAGAAGGCTGTAATTTTTAACTTGAACTCTTATTTTACCTATTCACACTTTGTATCAACCTGAACTTGGCTTTCTCTATAAGACTATAACTGACTCTTTTTGTCAAATTCTTAAGGTCGGTCAGCCTTTCACTTCTCAATTGAAGTTGGCACATGAAGATTAGAACAGCATGTATGGTAACAACATGGTGGGATCTGAACTCTATACGCCATCTTTCGGGTGAGTTGATGCATCTTCATGTATAATAGGATCAAATTACTTCCCTCTCTATTATTTCTTCTGTTTGCTTAATTGTTTTAGGGTTTATTCTTTCAATCTGATTTCTTTTTGAAGATTTACAGTTGAGGGCTATGTAAAGTTGAGGTCTTCCAGAGACAACCAGTTTTCCCAACTGTCATTCACTCCTAAGCAGTTACCTATTGTTTATCTCAACGTATCATGAATATGGATAAGAAGTATGAAACAAATATCAAACACTTAGTCAACTGTCCGTCCTCATTGGTTTGTTTTGTTTTCTATGTTGTCAATGCTATTCTCAGAATATAGGAATATGGATGGATTGATTTAACATGTGATATTAATGAAATAACCTTTATTCTATGTGGTATTATATTCATCCAATTAGTAAATAGAGACTGTTGATCATGAAAGACGCATCCAATGCAATACATTTGTTAACTTTGGCAAGGAACATGATTAACTTAATGCTCCTCACATTCTCTAGAGAGTCGACATGTATTCTTTTTTTCCTTCCACAACTTTAATGCTTCTTTAATCCCATTAACAGCAACCCGAGTCCAAAGTAGTCGAAGTTGTAAGCCAACTGGATGAACTTGAGCTTGAAGCTATTCCAGGGCGGATACCTGGGCTCCAGCTCTGGATAAAACCCTCTCTCCATAACTGCTTTCTCATGGCTGAAAGTGTCAAAAGAGTACTTCCCATGGTACCTTCCCAACCCACTCTCTCCAACTCCTCCAAACGGCATAGAATCGCACAGAAACTGCAAATTTCGACGCGCAGCCTAAGTTAGAGAAATCGAAAATGTGATGCAGCACAGATTACCATTTACATTTACCTGGACCATTGTGTCATTGAATGTCACACCTCCAGAGGATGTCTCTGATACAATCATCTTCTTCAGCTTTTCATCCTTGGTGAATGGGTAAATTGTTAGAGGCTTTGGGCCAGAGTTTATGAACTCTATGCTTTCCCCAATGTCATTCAGCTGTCCAAAAAGGAAAAAGAAAATCGTTAAACAAATTAAAAACTGATTCACACTGATTTGTACTTTTTTATTTTTCTTACGGTGATGACAGGAAGCAAAGGACCAAAGATCTCTTCAGTCATTAGCTCAGAATCCAAGGGTGGATTCAGCAGGATTGTTGGGTCAATAAACCTGCAAAATTTCACATCAGCATATCAATGAAACAACTTGTTCAAATCCAGATGGCAAGTTTTGGTTGGTGGAGAGGCCTTACTGTCGTTCCTCATCAATGAAACCGCCGGCAACAATGGATGCTGACACAGCAGGATCTTTGAGCAGACGCTGTACCCTTTCGAAGTTCCTTCTGTTGACAATTCTGCAAATGCTGTTGGATTCCTTGGGATGCTCGCCGTAGAATCTCCTGATATATTTCTTCAGCAAATCTATCTGCAAAGCAAGACAAGAACAAGACCCTTCATTCTCAAAACCCATCCAACTAAATAGCTGCAGAGACTATTTTCCTTACCAGGAATTGGGCATGCTTTTCTTCCACAAGCAGATAATCTACTCCTATACAAGCCTGTCCACTGCATGGCCCCCATTTCCCTCCAACTATTCTCTTGGCTACAATCTGTCGTAAGAAATATATAAAAGAAATCAGAGTAATTACACTGTGTCCCATTTTGAGCCAAATCCAGAAGAAGAAGAAGAAGAAGAAGAAGAAGAAGAAGAAGAAAGGAAAAACCTGAGTATCGTAACGGCTGGAGATTGAAGTAAGGTCAACAATGGCAGGACACTTTCCACCCAACTCCAGAGTCACCGGTGTCAGATGCTGAGCTGCTGCGGCCAGTACAATCCGGCCCACAGCTTTGCTCCCTGCAAACGCAGGAGGAAACTGTGAGAACTGGAAGAAAATAAAAAGCAAGAGTAAAGAAGGTAAAATCTGGGATGGTTTAACCAGTGAAGAAAATTTTGTCCCATCTCTGGTTGAGAAGGTGCTGTGAGGTTTCAACCCCGCCTTCAACGACTTTAATGGCCGTAGGATCCAAGTAGTTTGGGATGGTATTGAGGAGGAATGAAGAGCATAATGGTGCAAGTTCTGAAGGCTTCACAAGTACTGTGTTCCCAGCTGAAATGGCCCCAATCAATGGATCCAGAACCAGAGCTGCAGAAAAGGAAAATCAACCGTTTTGTTCCTTTTTTTTTTCTCGTCTAATTGGAGAAAAGAGGGTTTAGAGAGGTTGTTGAGGAGTTACATATTGGGAAGTTCCATGATCCAATTATGAGAACAACCCCAAATGGCTCTGGCACGATTTTCCCACTTGCTGGGAAGAAAATCAGCGGTATTGAACCCTTTACCAAAAGGAATTTCAAAGCAAGAGACGAACTTTCTGTCAGAAATTCACTCTTCCTTGCTGGGATCATAGTGGGGAAGTAGAAGACAAAAGAATTGAATGCATGCATACCGTTCTGGGTTTCATCCAGTTCTTGAGATGGGCGAGGGAGTGAGTAGCGGATTTCTTGACGACTCCAATCTACAAGAGAAGGGAATTGGGAATTCGGAGAAGAAGAAAAAAAGTGAAGAGTTTGGTTCGTTGGTGTGGTTTGTTTGTTACCTCGTCCCTGAAGGATTCAACAGGGTGTTTCCCCAGGTCGTGATGAAGAGCATCAAAAAGGGTTTCCTGATGGTCATGCACAAGATCAAGCAGAGCCTTGAGCTGAGTTTCTCTCCAGGCGAGGCTCCTCGTCTTCCCACTCCTGAAAGTGTGTCGCAGCTCCGCCAATTCCTTGTCAACTCGCTCCATCTTCATTCCTCCTCTTCTCTTGGCTAGATTGCTCAGTCAGGCAGTGTCAACTAATTACCACGGGCTGGCTCGAGGAGGCTAGGCTAGCTACTACACTCACTCTGGCTGACGGTGGAGGATGGAAGGATGGAATTATTGATGTCCATTGATAGTAACGGTCCGGTGGCTATAAAAGAGGGAAAGAGTAAATGATGAAAGAAGAAGAAGAAGAAGGAGAAAGTGGGTGTGTCTGCTGCCTGCCTTCATTTAAGAGTGTTGCCTGCCAACTGAACTTGCTGGGCAATTTAATGAATTTTTTTCCAGGCGAAGCCAAGGGTTGAGTAAATTCAACATGGACTCCAGCCGACAAAGGACGAGCAGCTCAGAATTCTCCCTCTTTCTGTAAGAAAATAATAATCACAAACACAAGGAAAGAAGATCGTTGGGCTGCCATTATTAAGATTAAAGGATAGGATTAGTCACACAGAGAAGACCAGTAGCCTTGATAGGGACCAGATTCAGCAACAATATGGTAAGAGATATTTATTATACATACACAACCCAACTGTTTCTTTTCGGTACGATCGCCAACCAATACTCCATGTGCCAAGTCAAGTAGCTGTTTTCCCCCAACCTGAGGAAAAACGCCCTCGATCAGTCAATCAGTCATCCAACCAACGAACACCGTGTTTCGCCCACAGATAGTATGCTCCGACTGGACCTCTACCTCCTAATTCATACAGCTCCGGCGCTGTATGGTTCTTGTCCATCTCCTCGAGCACGGGAGAAAGGATCCCCCATGCAGCTGCAAGCTCGTCGCTTCTCATGAACAGATGGTTGTCGCCATCGACGACGTCCAGGAGGAGGTGCTCGTACGAATCGGGCACCTCCAAGTTATATCTACCATGGGATAAAAAATGGTTATTAATCGTGTTCGAGGTTGAAATTCATAAAAACATCTTTAGCGTTTTATTTACCTGTCCTTGTAGAGCAAATTTAGTTCTGATGCATCTAATTGCAAACCCAAGCCTGGAATCTTGTTGTTGATCTTCACTAGGATTGCCTCGTCTGGTACATCCCGGAGGATCAGCTCGTTCGTGGCTGCATCAATGTTGTGTCCAATTCGTTCTCGGTATAAGAGTCCTGGGACATGGTGGAATTGTATTCGTATCTCCATTCTGCAGACAAATGTTTACCAGAAAGAATTATCCACATAGTAGAAAAACAATCCCCAATTGAACAAATATTGTTTACTGTTCGACATTCTTGTTATTCTTTTTTTTTTTTTTTTTTTTTGTGTGCTTGAGTGTCTTTCAAATCAGAAAAGTAATCTCTAACGTGTCGAGATATTCAATCTTAAGTACATGGGGGTTTAGGAGATATTCAAACTATATTTTTTAAAATACACCACATTATAACATGCAATAGAAACAAATAACATTCATTTACAAAGCACACTGAACCATACACACACCTCAAGATTTTACCTGTGTTCGATGAGTCCCATGCCGGTTCGAATCAAGAAAGGCACACCGTCCCACCGTGCATTGTCAATGTACAATGCAGCAGCAAAGTATGTGGGTGTTGAACTGTTTAGAGCTACATTGACCTTGCCAACATCAGATGTTTTATATTGGCCGAGAATTACATCAGTAGGATCCAACTTGCGAATAGATCGTAGAACCTTGACCTGAAAGGAAGGGAAAGCTTTATCGTTGCACCTTATAAAAAAATCTATGACATGAGTCGTACTAGTTTTGAGCATAGGATATTAAAGAACCTTCTCATTCCGAATATCTTCACCATCTAGGCTTATGGGCGGCTCCATGGCAAGCAAGGCTATGGTCTGGAGAACATGACTGTGCACTATGTCTTGGATGATCCCATAACCATCAAAGTACCTATGCATTATAATATACACTAAATGTGAGGACAAATTTACACAAAATTCACAGAATATGTCCATGCCGAATTTATCCTCTACGTCTACCTTCCAGTTTGCATACTTGAGTCTTCTGACATAATGATCTGAAATATTTATAACACAGAACAAATTGATCAGGTGGGCATATTGATGTCTGAGAAATTGGTAAATGGACAAAAAAGAATTACACAAAACCAAAACCAAGACTTACCTGCACATTTCGTATATGATTCCGACTCCATAATGGCTCAAACACCAGATTGGAGAACCTTAAGACTGTGAGGTTCTCAATGAGGTTCCTTCCTAACAAGTGATCTATCCTAAAATAGGCACAAAGACATTAACACATTTGATAAGTGGCAAATGAAAGCAAATATAACTAAGTGAAAAAATACCTGTATAATTGCTTCTCCTCAAACTTAGAAAGGAGAGTTCTTGTCAACTGATGAGAAGACAGTGGATCAAACCCAAAAGGTTTCTCAATTATGACACGGTTCCAGCCCTTTCGTGTTTGAGCATAATCAGCAAGAGCAGATGCAACATCAGGAAGGGCTTCTTGAGGCACAGAAAGGTAGAATATCCTGTTCGCTTCAGACTCGCTCTACATTCGAGTAAAGCATTTTTCAGTTACAAAATCGATGATCAAAAGAATCCAGTCCTCAACAAAACCATATATGAATGTAGAAAGATGGCAGGCAAGTTGTCAACTTTTAGAGTACCTCAATCTGTTCCATGCTCGCATTTAACTTTGACATCCCTTCTCGGTTGTCGAAACCTCCATTGAGGTGGTATGTTCTAGCAAGAAAAGCGTCCATCTTGTCCCCACAGTTCTCCCTAAAGACATTTTCATAAGCAGAAGTTATACAAACCAAGACATTTGCTTTTGGTTCTTATCTTCAGTTCCTAGCATATTAAAAGAAGCACTTCGAGTGCAACAAATGGCCGTGGGAAACCAGAAGTAGTTTGAAATTCAGCAAGTAAATCGAGAAACGGTAGTGAGTAGCCCCATATCATGGACCTAAAACTGGAAATAAATGGGAACAACTGAACTAGAGAGATGCCATACTGATGATCAATGCGGCAAGTCAAATTTGATGCTATGATGGATCTCAAGTCTTCATCAGTCAACTCCTTCCTCGAGTAGCCAAATATTCCAACATCCTGAAAGAATGTTGATGGTAGTGTACAGCAATGGAAACATAGCATCTGAATTTCAAACCAAAAAAGCATTGGACTGGGAGAACTAGACTCTATCTTCTGACCTCAGGTAAGAAGCCACTGTAGTACAGAGCAAACAGCGCCGGAAAAATCTTCCCTCTCGCCAACTCACCAGTAGCTCCGACGACAGCAATGCAGAGAGAAGCTCCTGATCGAACCTTAACTGGACTATCCAAGGAGTGAGCTTGAGAGCTTCTCAATGGAGTCTCCACTGTGAGGGGAAAACCCCATGGTTGAATTGAGTTAGGCTCAATTAATAGATAATGATAAAACTGAAGGACAGGTTAACGGTAAGGGGATCGTTAGAATTTAGACCTAATTCTGCAGGAGATGCCTGGTTGTTGTTGGTGATGATGTTCTTCTTCTTCTTCAACTCTTTAGCGGGAGAAGGCTCTCTCCACCACTGTCCCACGTTGAGCATCTGCCAGAGTTTCAACCGACGAAGCTTCCGGCAGAAACTGGAGGACCTTCCATGGGCGACTACGAGGCCGCCTCTACTCCGAAGAGATCCTAGCTCGGTTCCAACTCTCACGGTGGCGGGAAAAGTGAGAGCAGCAGAGGACGGCGAGGCGATTTCGGCTCTGGAACTTCGGGATAAGGGTGTTAAGGATTGGAAAGATGAAACCGACATCGAATTTGTCGCCGGCGATGATTGGAATGGTGTAGGTGCGAAAAATCAGCAGTGGCGGTACAGGGAGGCTGCAGGTAAGAACATCATCGCCGTCTCCGCCGTGATACTGGCGAATCCTTTCTCGCCGTTGAGTTATATTTCTGTTCGGTGTTTGAAGATAACGGTGAGTCAGAATGACGGAGCTGCCGAAGTCAACATCAGCTGGAGCAAGAAGCAAGCGAGGTTGACAATGATCGAAGATCTCGGGGACAACGACGGGAACTGTGAAGAAAGAAGGCGCCCTTTTGTCGGGCCTGCTTGCTGAGTTGGATTGGGCCGAACTCGTTGCTTATCCACAAACATAGTGGGCCTTCAATTTGGTCCTCTGTTACTATAACACGTTACAGACTCAAATGAAGGCCGATTCAATACTGGATCACCCAATTATAAGACTATTTGGCCCAAGAGACCCGGAACAAGAACATAAGGTTCTCTAGCACTAATGGCAAGAGTTTTGCCAATTTTGTAGTCTTAGGGGTTAGGGGTGGGTAATGGTCGGTTTGGGTGGATATGAAGTCCAATCCACCCGATCACAACTTGTCGGATGATTATGATAATGATTAACATCTACTCACTGGGGAAAGTTAACTTGAAGATTCGTTAGCAGATACTAACTGATATCCAAAATATATGAACTAGTATCAAAGTACTAAAGTATCTAGAGAGCACATATTAGTATTCAAAATTTGCTAACTCATATCCACCATGAATCAACTATTATCCAAAATTCACAAACTAATATCTAGACAACACAGAATAGTATACATACAGCACATAATTAGTATCCAGATAACACATAAGAGTATCCATATTGAATACTAGTTGGTTGATTGTGGATATTAGAGCATCTCCATTGGTGCAATTGGATTTGCAATTGCAATTGTTTTTTATTGTTACTTTTTTTTTTTTTTTTTTTGCAATCCAACTCATCTTACTTGCATTGCATCACATCAATGAAATTAACTTGCAATTGCAATTATTTTTTTAATTTTATTTATTAAAATATAAACACTCGAATAATAAAATTAATGAATAATTTAATAATAAAAAAGATGATGTGACTTGCATTCCATAATTGCATTATATGCAAGCTTGCAAAAATGCAATTGTCATCTACATCAATGCAATTGCATAATGCAATTGCAAATGAATGACATGTCATAATGCAATTCTATATGCAATTCTAATGGAGATGCTCTTAGTTGGTATATGTCATCTGGATACTAGTTTGTAATGTTTTGAATACTAGTCTATGCTATCTAGATACTTTAGAAAAATCAGCATATTTGGATACTAGTTCATACATTTTGGATATTAGTTAGTATATACTAACAACTTATGCAGTTAGCAGAATAATTATGCTGCCACTCACTCATATAATCACGGATGGAGTCGTGGGTGACAATGGTAGTGAATCACGTAAGCAGTTTGAACTTATGAACCATAATGTGTTCTAAGAAAAATGAAAAGCACCATTCTGTAAAGTAAAGGAACAAGTGCCAAAACTATAAACATCAATTCTTCAACTAATTCAAAATCTCATTAACGTAGCAAGGGGAGATGATCATATTCGTGAAGAGTACTACACAATACTAGCACAGGTCTCGGCCCGCTGGCCGGAAAAAATTTGTCGAGTAATATGGTATGTAATAATGGATATAACAGATGATTTGAAATACATGAAATGATTGTTATCTATATGCACATAACATTTTTGAAAGTGATCCAACTATGCATAATATGGTTAGACCTCCATGAAAAGAGAAAAAAATATAATATAAGCATTACATATAATTATTGAATGAAAAAAATAAATATAACTCATTGTCATTCATTACTTAATTCAACCATATAGTTGAATATTAGAGTTGCTTCTCATAATACATAAATAATCAACATTTATGATGAAAGAAAATGTCTCATAGAGTTCAGTATGTCCTTTAAGTTTTTTCCAATAGAGAGCATTCTTGTTTACCACATTGTTGGTAATGAATCTGAAGTTGCTTGATTTGAAATATATAGGACATTATGATGCTAAGTTGTCGCTAATAGTTAGTTGGACAATGTGTTGTGTACGGACTTTCCAAATTATTCTCAGATCACAGACATGTCTAGCAACAATTTAGTAATTTTCATGCAAAAAATATTTTTTTCATGAAATAATTCAATAAATAAAAACGTATGAAAATAATATTACATGAAATATATGTTACTCATTAAGTTGATGAATGAGCGAGGTATGAGTAGCATACATTTACTTTAGAAAGATAGAAGTTGTAAAGTGTATTTTGGGTTGCATGAGATCGCTAACTGACTTATACTTTTTGCAATAGATAATTCAAAATGTGCTTTAAAACTTTTATTTTCACCAGTGTAAAAGAATTATTTGAACGAAATTATTGTAAAATCATATCGAAAAAGTTGCTAGTAAAGTATTTTATACTGAAGTCATTATTTAATTGTGGTTCAACCGTTTTATATTGTTAAATATCATCTATCGATTTAGCCTGTAATGTGAAGTTTATGGTCTAACTGCCGATACGTATGATCTTTCAATACAAACTTTAAATAAAAAAGCACAAAAATATTAACATTATCAAATACCCCTTAAATCTCAGAAATTTCAGTTAAGGGAAAAAAATACTCCAAATGATAATATTGATTTAGGATTTTCAATTGAAATGGAAAAAATATCTCAAATATAATGTCATCTTCTAAAATAAATCAAAACTCAACATAATAGGGCCAAGAATATCCACTAATCAAAGCAGAATGACAATTATTTCACACCACCTCATTTTTCTCCTCTTTTAAATGTGTCATCTCACTCTCTCTTTGTCTTCCTCTTTGTTTTTCCATTTGTTCTTCCATTTCTCTCGGCTTTGTATCTCACCACTCTCCCCCTTTTTTCTTCCTCTTTCTTCCCACCGCTTGGAATCGAGAGAAACCTAGAAATATCTCAATTATTTCTCCAATTTTGCATTCAAAATGCTTCTTCTCCATTCACAGTCGATAGTGTGAATCAGAGCACCTGAAACATGGCGAACAGATGGTTGCTTATTCATCGACGGGAGCAAAGTAGCATGATAGCATGTGAATAAACTAATTATTTAAAGTGATAAAAAGCACAACTCGTTAAACCAATCGAGTGAGTGTATAGTTAATTCATCGCTTAAAGCCTTAAACCATTGTATTTATCTAAAGAATCAAAATGCATAATCAGATTCATCTTCACTTTACATGTATTTGTCGTACAGATTCATTACACATAAAAAATGATTTTGAACTGACGCAATATCAAACAAAATCTCATCTTATGATTATTGGATCCATGCCAGATTAGCAAAACGTCGAAGGCTATTGGTTAACCAGGCTGAAAATTAATACTAATTTAAGAATTATATATCGCTTCCAAAATATTCAATACTCCAATTCAATATGCAATATTCAATATTCAAACAAATGATATATGAGTTTCAACCCTTTCTCAATTTTTTAGAAAAAAATTCTCATCCCTCACACACATTTGCAAAGAAATACTAAATCCCAATTTTTTCTTCACTTTACTTGCTTCTAAAGTTATTATTGTCGCTGTTTTTTATTGTTGCAAGCTATAAAAAAAGACTTTCCAGCTATAAAGTTAATCAAGAATGATTTTATAAATGAATTTTTAGTTGTATACATTGAAAAATGTTTTAGTCTCAAAATAAACAATAAATGTATTTTATAAACCTTTTAGAATATGAGCCGTCACACGTTGATGTGAGAAACTACTCATTAATTAAATTTTATACGTTATTTTTAGAATATTTTATTTTATTTTTATTAAATGGTGCATTTCTCCATAAAACATGAGTCCACCAATATAGATTGTGTGGTGCTCGCACTTGTGCGCGAGCCCTTGAAGTTTAAGTTTGGTACGACCCATGAAGCATTCATGCTTGTACATGGTCCATCCATATACATTGTCTTCATGGTGTGCTCTATATGTATCGTGCTAGCTTGACCATATGTCTAGGTATAGTTATATGGATTATAATAATTAAGTTTCTACCTATTCACAACACCAATATAAAAACAGTCATAAATGCACCTAATATTCGATTTTGACTACCTAATGAAATACTACATTTGAATAAACTACAACTGATGTCACAAATAATAATTATACCTCTAAATCATACATAAACTATTTAAAACATCACAAAGATTACTATTTAAATTAATTATTGTAAAGAGTATAAATTGTATAATGAGGTAAATTGTAAATCATTTATATGTTAATGCCCTAACCCATATAACAACTCCTTCCTCTTCGTCCCATTACCATACTTCCATTAGATATGAGAATGGGACAGGTCGGGCCGGGTATCTCGAATCTCGATATCCATACCCGTAATCACTGCAGGTTGGGTATTTTTTTCTGGGGCGCGGATTGGGGCATGCCGATCCATAAGGGTATATATAGTAAAGGTAGAAAAAGTGTATAAATTGATTTTGCATTAAAATTTTGAGAAATAAACTATAACATGATAAATATAGTCAAATTATTCAAGAAATTGAGGTTCTCATCTATTTATAGCTTTATATAGCTAAAATATTATATATTAAAAACGATACTAAGTAATTTATAAAATTATACATAATTTAGACAAGAACCAGTCGAGAATGGGGCAAGTCAGGACGGGTCAAGTCGAGGACATTACCAATGCCCTTCTCGCCCCACCTACTCGACTCAAAATAGATAAAATCAGTCAGGTAGGACGGGTAAGGTCGGAATTGTCCTAAAAATTACTGTTTGATATTAATAGATTTTAAGATTTAGCAATTAATTTTTATTGCATATAAGTCCTAAAAAAATTAATGATAGTACCTAAAAATTTATATCTTTCGTTGTGATACCTAAACTTTTTAAAAGTTACAAAAGGTTAAAGTTTTTGAGGTTTCTAATATGCTTTATGAAATTTGTGATTTGTTTTATAAGGTTTATGGTATGCTTTCAGGAACTTATGGTCTTCTTCATGAGGTTTCTAGTATACTTTTGTGTAGTGATGGCAATTTCGACTTGGTCCCAACTTGTTTGACCTGTTTTGGTGCGAGGGTAGACGGGTATGGGTAGTGTACTCGACATGACCTGTCATGACCCAACCTCATTTTTTACCCATTCTTCCTTTAATCATGTGTATGTTTACTCAAATTACTAAGTAAT